TTTTTTTTTTTTTTTCCAAATTTTCAAAAAAGAAAGAATTTGCTTACCTGTTCACAGGTAATCCATCTAAATCTTCAGATTCTAATCTAAAAGTCCCTCGGTTTAGGCACCATTAAATATTGTTTCTAATGCACAAGTTTCAACATGCCAATGATTCTATAAACTCGAATCATAACTCAAATAAGTCTTAATGACTCTTTATTTATGCACATCTGCTATATTACACTATTTACATAATTCAAGATTAATTTTAAATCAATAGATCTGGATTATCCCCCCTTCGAATCAAATTGTATTAAGAGAGACCAAGTAAGTGACCGCTCACTTTAAAGTTTTGTTTTCAACTCCCTGTTGCCACTGGCAGAAGCAAAACTTTTGCTCAATTTGCCTTCGAGTTATAACAAATGTATTGCGGTGCCGAGTAAACAATGACAAACAGGAGGTGACATGTTGTTGCTTGTTTGCTTCAGACAGTGAGTTGAGTACCCACTTGCTCAGCTTGTATGCCTTTCCTATGCGGTGCGAATGGAATCTGATCGTTTCATCAGATATCTGGAGGCTCACTACATGTTTGGTTACTGTCACTCTCTATGGCTGCTCTCAGGTCCTCATTGTCTACCACTTGTGGCCGATCACTGCATGGTACATCACCAAGAGATATATCCCTTGACCTGAACTTCTGGGAACCATTGCCTAGCGGTTCATTCATTAATGGCATCATTCCCCAAAAGCCTGCCAAATTTGGCAACTTGATTCTGCTGCTGACAGGCCCACTTTAAAATCATACAGCAAACAACTCCAAATGAGTTCCTTTGATGTGTCTATTTCAATCAGTTGCTGTGTGAGTTATGTTGGGGTTCATTTTTCCAGTATCATATCAGAAACAGCAAGAACTTTTTTGGTTACCTCGTATTAGCACGGGAAGTTTGGCACCTTTAGGCCCCAGTGTTCTTGGAGGTGTTAAATGACATGGGGATCGAACATGGGTCTGTTTTGTAGCAGTCAAGCATTGTTTTGCAGTAAAGTGCACTTATGTGGTTGCTTCTGAAATTTAAATTATTCCCTGGTGCAAGTATCTGGTTGGCCCTCAGGACCATTACACTTTCATTACCCAAGCATTTCTTATTCGTTTGAGGGAATATGAATGGTCATTGCAATTGAGCCTTTATTATGGGCATGGCTGCAAGTCCTGTATATTGATGTGGTTGATTGTTGTGTTAGTGGGCTGTGACATCAGTGTATGAACATGCTTTGTTGGACTCTTTGTTGCACTATAGAGAGTGGGTACGGAGTTTGTAATATTGTTCATCATTTGTGACCAGGTGGGCAGAGATGCATGTTCTTGTCATGCTTAAATCGTGCTTATGCCCCAAAATCTTTCAAAATAAGAAATGTTTTATATGAGAAAATCAAACATTATTGAAATAATAAATATTTTTGACTTTATGAAATAAACTTCTTAAATAAGAACTTTTAAATGAGTTCTACTGTACATACATTGGTGGTGTATGACAGCATGTGCATAGCACAAAAAAAAGGGGGGGACAGTTCAGTATTTTCCATTTTCCTGGGCCGATTGACAAAATTCAAATTGCATTTTTTGTGTCTCGAAAGCGAGACTTAGGATATATATTAGATTTATATATAGCACTAATCTAACATAGGTATTTTAACACAAAATCGGACTTTTTCTGAAATAACATATCAATTTTTTTTTCATATTTCGATTCTACGACTCGAATTATACCAGACGGCCAAGATTTGTAAAAATTGTACAAGTAGTTTTAAAAAATTAACTCTCAAAATTTTAGCTCCGAAATGTTAATTGAATTTATATGTATTTATTAATATCTTTTTTTATTAAACGTTTTCGATTTTCCCTTTCATATTTCAAAATTTAGGTTCATTCCAAATAAAATTCATCAATTTTTTGTGTTTTATTTTTAAAATTTCTATTTTTAAATAATTTTTATAAAATTTTTACCCTCATCTTAAAGTAGGTGTAGTTCTAAGTATACCTGCAAAAAAGTAGAGTTTTTTTATTCCAAATTTTGTAAGATATATACGAATTTACATATTTTCGCGTTTTGAAAATTGGCATAATTTTTTTTAGCGATAATAATGCCAAATGTGGTTTATGGATTTTTGTTGCAGTGAATTGCCACAGCTATTTTTAACCTTAAATTTCAAATAAATTTTTAGGGAGAATTAATTAAATGAAAATTTTCCCCTCAATGATGCCTAATAAATATTTATTAATACTATATGAAAAGTTTTTTTTTTTTATTATTTAGTTTTTTTTTTTTTTTTTTTTTTTTTTTTTTTTTTAAATATTTGTAAGAGTAAATTTTTACCTTCGCTGTGTTATCATCTGCTACTTTACTTTAACTGCTTTTAAATTGAATTGTTTAAAACTGAGAAAGTGTGTTTGATGTTTATTTTCACAATTTTTTAAGCAAGCAGGACGTTGACAGTTTGGGTCATGTCCCAGCTTTAAAAAAGATGTATATAAATATTTACATTAATCTTCTTAAAAAAATGTTTTAAGTAGCTAATTTTCTCTCATGGTATAGATTGTATAAAAAATATGATCTTTAATATGATTTAGATTGTTTTCAGCCCATATAATAATCGGGTCACTCGGTGGTACAGAATAAACACTGCTGGACTGTTTTATTTCTTTGTCATTTAGCAAAAAACTTTTAATTAAAGTATTTATCCTTTGGACTTTGCTTTAAACTTTATTTATAGTTAATATGCCTAGAAAATGAAAAGCTGTCTTCAGCTGAAACTCAATTGATGTAATTGATATTTTTTTTTTAAAAAAATGACAAGAATGCAAAATCTATGGAAGTGTAACAATCGAAAAATCTTGATTTTCTTGTCTGAGCACTGAAAATAAATGCAGAAAGAAAGGAGAAAATTAGGGAGAAAAGTAAGCAAAAATTTGAAGGGCAATTTAGCTGTCAAAAATACCAAGGTGTTTTGAAAAGTTGAATGCTTTTGAATATACTTTCAGAATACTTCAAGAAATTTAGGTGTTCAAAGAGAAACACTTGGACGTGTACACCAGCAAATACCATCACTTGACCTTGCTATCATTGCATATTAAAGTGAAGAGAAACTTGTTTTTGACTATATGGTTATATAAATTTAAATTACATTATAGAACATCATATCATCATAAACGGAGAAACCCTTGATTTCTTATTCGAATTATTTGAAGATTCAGGAATTTATCCAGTGGTGTATGTGGATGTCACCTAAAGACATCTTCCCTTTTGATGAAACCAGTCTTTCCTTTCATCTCATACCTTCAAAATGCTTAGCTTCTAAAGACTGATAAAGGCTCTGACCAAATATTGATGAAATGGATTGAATTGGATTATTAAGTTGCGCAAAGAACGGCTATCTGCCTAAAATGAGGGATGCCTTCGAGAAGAACTTTCTAAGGGAAACCAGCTGGCATACATGTTACAATGAGGAAAACCACGAAAACCCCCCGAGCAACCAGCCTGTTCGCTGGGATTCAAACCCCGGAGTGAACTACCAGTGTTCAGCGACTTTACCGCACGGCCGTTTGTGGGCCTTTGTGAAATGGAAGGCGGTAACTTTATTTAAAATGAATGTCAAAAATACCAAGATGTTTCAAAAAGTTGGATGCTTTTTAATATACTTGCAGAATGCCTGAAGAAAAAGAGCAAGCCATTAAGAAGAAAAAATGTTTTAAATTTTAAAATAAATTTTTGCGTAAAATTTAGTAATTTTTTTAATTTAAAACTTTTTAAGCTTGATATTTGATTCTTGCGATTTCAAAAATAAAATATTTGATTAAAATATAAATAACATTTTAAGAAACTAAATGTAGGATGACAAAATTGTGTAAAGCAATGAGCACTATGTTAAAGCTATTTAAAGTATATATGCAAGTCATCCTATGTTAAATTGTCAGTTATACATCTTTCTCATTTATATATCTTTTCTGAACGGAACATCGAAAGGCGTGTTAACTGTGCTTTATGGTATTTTTCCTTTTAATATATGCAGTTTTCAAATGCATCGTAGTGTGGGTCACAAAGTATTGTTCCTAAAGAAACACAATTCAAATAAATAAAATCAAATTCTGAAAAATTTATTTTAATAAATATATTTAAAATTCTCGGCTCGAATGAATAAATAGAAATATTTATTCATTCGATTTTAAAACAATTATCTGAAGAGACAATGCAACACAAACAATTAAAATAAAAATCTAAAAATTAAAGTATTACCTAAAATAATAACTATAACAGAAAAATAAATTATAAAGAAAACTATTTGAAAAAAAAAATTGATGCACCTTTTATTTAAACTACGCAATTTGAATGGGTAAATAGAAATTTTTAAAACAGTTTTTCGAAAGAAACCATGCAACTTAAACAATTAAAATGAAATTCGAAAAAGAAAATAATACTTAAAATAATAACAATTATAATTAAAAATATAATATAAAGAACATTATTTGAAAAAAAGGAACAATTGTACTTTTTTTTTTTTCTTTCTGACATGCACTATGTAAAAAGGGAAAGGAAAATAGGTTGCCATATATTAAGAAGTTTAGCAAGTGAACTCTTCTTGGCGAAACCTGAAAAAACCGGCAACATAAATTTACGAATTTCTCCGTAAATTTCACACCAAATTTTACAAAATTTCATATTTAGGCGTAATTTGAGTCGTAGAATCAAAATATGGAAAAAAATTCGTATGTTATTTCAGAAAAAGTCCGATTTTGTGTCAAAATACCTGTTAAAATACAGCTATATATAAATCTAATATATATCCTAAGTCTCGCTTTCGAAATATGAAGAACGCAATTTGAATTCCGTCAATCGGCCCAGTAGAATGGAAGAAATAGAACTGTCCCACTTTTTTTTTTTGCGCAGTGTACATGCTTTTTTTTATCATATGCTGTTTAAAGTGTATATTCCTTATTATTAAAATTTTTAATTGAACAAATGTAGATGCATCAGAAAGTAGTCAAGAAAAGCCCAAAAGAGGTCGAAAGCCCTTGCCGAGACAAAGTTCACCAGTTGCACAAGTAGAAATTCAAAATAGTCAAGAAATGGCATCCAAGCAGCATTTAGAAGATATATGTAAAGAAGGATCAAGTGAAACTGTAGATGATCCGACATTACCTGAGGTATATTTCTTACATTTGCTGTGATAATAGTTGCAGTCTTTGTGTAAATAAAAATATATAGAATTTATTGTGTGTAATATTTCCTTAATGACTTAGCTACTTTATTAGAATTTAAGCTCTCAAACTGTATTAACTTTCAACAAATTTAAAATTAACTGCATAACTACTAGTGAGGGAATGCACGTTTCATGAAGTTAATTTGTATAGTTTTCTCGTGTTTTTTAAATTAAAACACGTTCATGTGAACATAAAGAGCAGAGTCAGTTTGCTGTGCAATTTTCTGTTTTTTTAAGTTAAAACAGCCATGTAGCAAATAGGAGACTGAGAAAACAGAAAGTGTTTTAATATAAACATTATGTTTATGTGATAACAGTTAAGTGAAGAGAATTGGAATAAGCTTGTGTTCTGATATCTGTTACAGTCAAAAGTCGTTAATCCGGACTCGTAGGGACTTCGGCGATTCCGGATTATAGATCATCAGTTTAAATCTGGTAAGATGGCATGCAGAAATTATAAAATTAAAAATATGAAAACCGTAATTTATGAAATAAAGAACAAATTATGATCTAAAGGGTATCAACATTTACAAAAAAAAAAAGCTTAATATTTATTTGTTTACTTTATTAAACATTTCTTTCAATGTAAGTTGTTTAAGTTGCTTCGTTTTCATGTGATAATATACTTCTCTTTAATTCTATTAAACAGAACATAATTTCTTGTTTAGTTACAAAGTTCCGCAGTTCAAGTCCTATAATTGCTGTATCAAGAATACCGACTAATTTGTCAATCAAAATTTTTTCATTTTCAATAACCTCTATTAGTAAATATATATCGGAAATTCTATTTGACATAATCGAAAGTTCAAGCTTACTTTATAAAATTGCTGTAACAGTCTGCAAAAAATAATTAGCCGGATCCAATTCGAAGATTAAGGAACAACGCAATCTGCAACATAAGCTGAATTGGATAATTTTAGCTTAGCTTATACCGTCCGTTATACATTAAACGCGCATGCGTAAACGCATTATGCGCATGCGCACACGCATATTTGCAGCCGTAAAGGTCTTACGTGCATGTGTAAACGCCTATGCGCATGCGATGCATGCGCAGAAAGTTTGTAGCTTTGAGGTCCGGATTATGGGTGTCCGAATTAATGACTTTTGACTGTATTTCAAAGGGTTGCAGAGCCAGTACAGTGGTTAATGTTGGTGATTGCCATATCTATGAACCTGGGTTCGAACCTCAGAAAAGTCATGGATGTTTGTAACTGTATAGTGTCTGTGCAGCAGGGGGCACTCAAAATACATAAATTACTCGAGCCAGGTTGATGGTGGAGGAAGAGGAGTGGGCAACCCATGGCCCACTAAAATATTCTTCCTGATAATGAGAAGCAGAAGCTTAACAATCAGTTAGGTTGATCAGTACCACAAATACTTATTGATTAATAATAGTATTTCATTGTGTATAACATTCAAATTATTTTTAATGCTATTAGAAGTTATAAGTTGCAGTAAAACTTAATTTTCTACAAGCAAAAAAATTATTGCAATTAAAATTTAAAGCAATGTATACTGATCCCTAAATGCAGAGTATATGAATTGATTGCGTAAATTTGTCTCATTCATTATTACAAAACAATCGTATGTTTTTCAGGTGAAAACAGAAGCTGCAAAAGAAGAAAAAAATGTACAGGCAAAAGGAAAGATTAAAAATATTCCTAAGCAGCCACAAGTTTTTACCTGTGCCGTCTGTCAGAAAAGGTTTACACGGAAATACCATCTTGATCGCCACTTGAGGATATCAAAATGTTCTGGCCTGCCATTGCCAACTTTTCCTTGTGAATTATGCAATCGAGTTTATACAAGAAAGGTAATATTTCACTCTGGCCGTCTGAACTGTTTTATTTTAGATACGTTAAACAAAGTGTAGGATATATAATAAACTTTCTGTATAACAAACATCCAAAATTTTGTGTGATTTTGAATTGGTTGTCTTTGAAAAGGTAACTCTCAGTAATAACAGCTATTGATTTAAAAAATAGAGTTATTTTATTTATTATTATAGGTTCTTTTGAACTCTTTTAAAGCAAATGCTCAAATAGAAATTATCATATCAGTTTACTAATACCTTTCACTCATGAACACAGTGAAACAAGAGGAATACTATAACAAAAATACAAAATTTTAAAAGAAATGTTTTTTATGCTTACTTTTTTTAGGTGCTGCAAAGAATTAATATTTTTTAATACAGAGGACAAATCTTATGTGTTAATTTCATTTCCCCGGGGAGGGGGAAGAAGAAGCAAGCAAGTGAAACCTTGTATTACATTTTTTTTAAATAAAATTTATTGGTAAAAATTACTCATCGGTTGCAAATTGGTAATTTTAGCAACTTTTTTTTAAAAAAGATTGCCAAAATATATATATTTATCTTAAGTTGGCAAAATTACCAATTTTTCTTAACAAAATTGTGTGATACATAAATAAAAAAAACATTTATATTTTCAGGAAGTTTCTTCTCTTTTTTCACTGTGATCCTGTGTGGGATATTTAGAATAATATTGTGGTTTTTAATCAGAAGTGGTAGTAAACTGTAATTCAGCTTGCGGAAATTTTGTCCAATCTTTCCAATTTCGTCAATAGCAATTTTTTGTATTTTTGTTCCAGATTAGTTAAAATACAATATGATTTCCTAAGCTAATACAAAATTAACAACTAGGCTGAACCTTAATTATTATACACTCACGAACATTAACAGATTTACGGAAAAACAAATAACTGCTTTTAATAATATCATGTGTACTAAGAAATTCGTTATATAAAAAATTTTATCGGTTGCTCTTCCAAAAAACTATGAATGAAGTTACAATATAATTTTGCTTTTTAAATAAGATACCATGGGGCAAAGATAGATAATAACAGTTTTTTCTACTGATGATTGGTTTATTGATAAATTGCATTCCACTAATTATTTTTATTTAGTATATTCAAATTTGTATATGCATTTTTGTGTTAACATTTCATTCATTTTATTTTTCCTTGTGTTTATTATATGAAATATATTTTTTGAGTATACGTCATTAAGCTATCCAGACATGGCAGGTGTTAAGAAATTTTTCTAATGTGTGATTTCTTCTTCCATTATTTACATTCCATCTCGCTGTAGTCTTATCTACTGCTGATGTGTTCAATCTTTCAATACCCAGGTCTTTTGTTTGCCTTATGTTCTTCTTCGTTCTTCCAATGTCTTTCTTGGGAACTGCAGTCATGACTTATTCGTATGGACTGCCTCTGAGGTTTTACAAAGTATTTGAACCAAACACATTGTGTTTGGCTGAATTACCATCTGATAATGTTAATATTGTGTATTCATATTGGAATATATGTTTTGTTTTTAAAAAATAATATTGTGATAGCTATTAGTAGTTTATCCTGATTACTTTTCATTTGTTGTGTTCTTACAATAACTGAGTTCTTCAGACATTAAATTATTTGCTTAATTTTTCTTCCTTCATTTTTAGATGATGAAATAAGTTAGAAACAGGGGATATTTGAGGAAATACAATATGTTAAAAATATTTGTCATGATACTATTTAGTGCATAGATGTGAGTATTAAAATATGTGCAAACAGTCGAGGAGTAGCGTCTAGGCCTAGTATGGTTTATGCTTCATGCATGCGCAGTAGGCACATTTTCAGCATGGCAACCTTCGTCGGTTGGCCAAAGAACATTTATGTATTTTTGGCTTGGCGATGAATTTAAGATTCAGACTTCAGCTATATATATGAGAAGTGCTGTGGAATGTGGGAAATTTGTTCACTGCCCAATTGTGTGAGCAATTATTTAGTGGGGATTTATAAAGGCATATGGGGTAAGCTTTGTGCCCAAATATGCGAGAATTTATTTACTGGGGACTTAAAAAAGTGAATGGGGAAATGGCCGTTATTCTTTTTTCACTCATGTTGATGTTTATAAACTCTTAAATTAATGCTGCAGGTTTTTACTTAACGGTATTTTATATTTATTTCCAAATGTAGTTTTGTCTGATATTTCCTCTTATATTTACTGTTATTGTAAAATTTCTTTGCAAATTCATGCTTTCCATAAAGGCATGTCTCATCGTAGGCAAATAATTCTTGAGAGCTTAACATAATCAATTAATTTAACCTCATTTTAAAAATTTGCTTTTTATTTCATATTTACAGTTATCATAAAAGTACATCTTTTAACAGGCATTCAGCAAAATAACATACTTTGGTCCTCTCTTTTTGTATTCTTGATTACATTATCTTACCTTATTGGTAATCCAAATTAGGTCTTCGAAAGTTCCAAACTAACAGCTTAACATCTGCAACGTGACAAAATTTAGTGGAATAACAGTATGTCTTTAGTTCTCAATCTCATGATACATCGCCAGTTCTGTGTAACAGAAGCCAGCCAATAACAGCAACGAAGCTTGTCATTGCACATGCAGAGTTGCCAACTCTCCCGATTTTCGACCGCTCTCCTGCCAACCCAATTTACAATATATTTCTGTTCGACTTTTTCTTATGCCTAAAATTTCTCACGATTTTTATGAAACTTGGCTTAACCCTCTGAGCGTTATGACTCGCTTTATCCGGTCATCAGAAGTTTTGCTACTTGGCATATATTAGCTTATAATTAAAGATATTTTGCTTTCTTACTTTCTTTAACAATGTAAATATCATCTTAAGGAATGTAAGTTTATGAAAATACAGACTAAAATAAGTAATGATACAAACTCAATTAATAAATGCTATTTAAACACAGGTCTTCATGACGGATCTAAAATCCTGTGCCACTCAGATGGTTAATACTTCGTTATATGAACAGCAAAAAAAAAAAAAAAAAAAAAAGTGATTTTGGACATCTGAAAGCAATTGAATTTTCTCTAGATAATATCTAAAACAAAACCTTGTGAATCAGATGAGAACTTTTTCTTTGTGAGTGAGAGCATATACGTATCCAGAAACGTCGTTCTCCAGTTCTCCGATGGGCATCGAGCTCCACTGCGTGTCATCTGGCATATATTAGCCAATGAGCACAAAGCAAGCTCAAGTCTGTTATTTTGGATTTCTTTAGTTATTCGTTAATCTTGTTCTGAGTTGTTGGTAACGTGCTTCGGAATATTTTGAAATATCATCATTTTTTGTTATGTCTGCGAGAAAGGTGAAATACTCGTACGTTTCAAAAATCATACACAGTTGACTTTCTTTCTATTATTTCCTCAAGGAAATGTAATAAATTTGCGTTGTGTACTGTCTGTTGTTGCGATTTTTCAATTTCGCATGGTGGAAGGGTGGATGTTCTCAAACATGTGCATACACAAAAACACAAGGACAACATGAGTTGTTTTAAAAAAAACGAAAAATTAAAATGTTCTTCAGAAACAAAGGATTAAAAAATTATTAATGCAGAATGTCTGTTCTCTGCCTTTTTAGTGGAGCACAACCTGCCACTGAAGCATCGGATCACGCTGCAGCTTTATTTAGAAAAATGTCTTTCGATAGTGAAATCTCTAAGAAATCTCAAGTGCAAGGGCCAAACAGGTGCAATGTTAAAAAATGGGTTTGAAAAATAAATCTTCAGTTATTGATGCATTAAAACAGCTCCGTTCTACCTCTTTACGAATGGAAGCAATAATATCGATTCAAAACTGTATCTAACTGTTGTTTCTTTTTTTAATCCAGAGTCTTCAGAAGTTGAATGCAGTTTACTTTCTGTCCCCACTTTAGAAGGACATTCGTCATGCTTTAATAAAGCACAGCTATAAGTATTAAAACTTTAAATGAAAATGCAGTCCCTCTGGACTTAACTGGTCTCCCTTAGCACTTGGTGCCGATAATGCATCAATAATGGTAGGCTTGAAGACTGGTGTTGCAGCATCTAAGAACTAAAATTCAGATTTGCAGATTATGAGTTGCACCTGTCACTCTTAATTTCGCAGCTGAAAAAGGGGCAGCTTCTTTACCAATAAATGTGGATGAACATTGTTGAATTTATTATTATCTTGAAAGGAGTTCTAAAAGGAAGGAAAAATTGAAACATTCCAACAGCTGCATAATACTGAAATGAGAAAATTTGAAATTGGTGTACACGATGGCTGTCTTTAAAGAATGCTTCTCTAATCCTCGATCATGGACCCCTTCTTCCTTTTTTAAAAGAAAGTAATGCTTCGAGAGTTAGATAAAACACTCTGTTGAAAGTTATAAAATACCTAAAGTAAATGGAGATGTAGTTACTACTTCCATTGTTAAAAATGGTGAGAAAATAATTTTTGTGCCATTCAGCACTTCAACTGGCAGTTCTCAAATAATCGCAAATATAAAGCGTAAAACTGAGACAAAATTCTCTCAATAAAAAAAAACAAAAATTGCTCAACCAAAACTTTTTCAATTACAGATTTATCTTGTGAAGACGAATATTTATGTTTTTTCTTCAACTTTAACAAAGCTTTTTGCTTTTTTTACAATTCGTTTTGCCATCATTTGATGTTCTAACACAGTTCTACAAGCAGAATTCTTTAATTCATTTTCGAAATCAATAATTTATGATCTGTTTAAAGCCTTTAAACACAGACAAGTTTGTAAACCAGTCATTGTTTTGTCTTCTAATTCTATATATGATGTAATCTATGGTGAAATCAAAAGTTAGAAGAAAGATAAAGATTTGGTCATAAGGGTTGCAACAAAAAAAGTTGTGGAAGTTTTTTCAGAGGAAGACAAAATTACATTTTATATACATGTTAGAAGCTACTTCTGCTGAGTATGTGATAATATACTACATAAATTTCCAGTCAATGATCAAGTGATTTTGCATGCTAAAGTTGTTGATGTTTCTGCTTTAGCAAATGCATCTTTTTCTGATATAAGATTTTTTTAATAGATTTCCAGTTTTACTTCATTTAATCATGAAAGGTGATATTGATGCTGTAACTGATATATTGCAGTCACAGTTTTGCAGTTTACGATTAGAAAACTTGGATAAAAGTATAAAACCAGCTAGATATGACACACTGTGGAGTTTAGTTAGAAAACTAAATGGTGCTGATGGAATTTTAAAGTATAGTGAACTGTCTAGAATAATGTTGGCCATCTTGACGTTCCCCATAGTAATGCAGAGTGTGAGAGTATTTTCCAGTGTTATTGCGAAAACGAGACTAAATTTAAGTGATGACACAATAGAAAACTTTTATTAGCAAAGCGGCCTACGTGGCATTGCTATGAACAATTTATGAAGTTTCTTTCTTAATGAAACAAATCCACCACTGTTCTAACATTTGTACAAAAACTGATTAAGTGTCTTCTTCTTTTTTTTTTTTTTTTTTTTTTAAAGTTTTCTTAAAAGATGCAAGTAATAAAAATTTTTTTTTAGGTATTTTTGTGTCGCTTGCATTAAATTAGTAACTATTTAATATTCATTATTAAAAACTATATTTTTATCATTTAAAAAGTCTTTTTAACATTGTGAAAAATCTGATTTCTTAAAAAAATCTCCTAATTTTTGAGTATCATGGGTTTTCAAGTCTGCACGTGCGTGAAGTATAAACCATGCTAGGCCTAGACGCTGCTCAGTCAAGGTTGTACATGCATTAGAATGAAGGAGTCAAGATATAAAATGGAAGGGTCTATTTTAAAATTCTAGTCAAAAAATGGCCATTTATTTATGGCCTGTTTAGGGTTTTCGAGCCAAATTCTTATCTGCTTAGAGGATTAAAGTGATTGTGTTATAACTTGTAACTTTTTTTCAAAGAATTATGCCACTGATTGTCAATTTTAATGCTTGAGTAACTTCAAATCATTTTTTAGTATGGCTAAAAAGTTCTTTCTCCACCCCCTGTTTCCATTACAATTTTTTTAGCTGTTTGTCTTTTATTGCTTCGTTTTCTTTAAGAATTTCTTGGCTTTGCATTGTATTACTTATCTACTTTTCTGTCAGCTCCCTTTTGTGGCAGATTGTGAACAAAAACTTGAGTAAATTTTAATCATGTTTCTAAATTTAATGCATTTTTATTTTCTGGGTTCTTAGCCTAAGAACACAGAAAATAAAAATAAAGCACATAATATTTATAAAATTTAAAATAAAATAATTAAAAAAACATTTAAATACACTGAAAGGTCAGCTTTGAAATGATCATGACTAACTGCAGTAGCATCTAAAAATTGAAAAGAACTTTCAGCCTTGAACCCTGATATGTCTAGGTTAGTAATGTAATATATGAGCTTATACAGACAGGAGAAAAGAAATAGTGTAGGAACATGTTGGTTCATTTAATAATATGTTGTGTGAATATTGAAAGAAGACTATGAAAAGTTACATTGTAATACAGAAATGATTTACTGCTGTCTCATAAAAGTAATTTTGCTGTTAAAAAATGAACTGGAAATGTAACTCTTCAATTTGATCACTACATAAAATATTGTAGCTTGATAATAGAATTAAAATATTTTTGTGGATGCTGTAATACTAATGATCTTCTGAAGTTAGGTAGCAGTTATCCTAGAGAATAATGTTATAAATATTGACACCAATACCAATCATTTTTTAAAATGATTGCCTCGAAAGGGTTCACTTTTTTTTTTAAGAGTGTTTTAACCTCCAGGCTAGCAAGGGAAAAACTGAAGGTGCTATGTTTTAATATCAAAGACGTTTAACAAGTACAGTGCAAAGTCCGATATCCGGACTCGTCGAGACTTCCTCGATTCCGGATTTGGAAATTTTCCTGATATTAGATCATCACTTTAAATCTAGTAAGATGGCATGTAGAAATTATAAAAATATGAAATCTTCATTTATGATATAATGAAGCTTATATCTAAGGTATCAAATTTACAAAAAAGTTAATATTTATTTGTTTAATTTATTAAACAATTCTTTCAATGTAAGTTGTTTATTCTCTTTAATTCTGTAGACAGCTATAACTTCTTGTTTAGTTACATTGTTGAAGTCATGTAATTGCTGTGTCGAGAATTCCGAATAACCTGTGAATCAAAATTTATCGTTTTCAGTAACCTCTCTGCTACTTTTTTCACTATCGGTAGCGGGTATTTTTTGGAACTAGAACCATACTACAGATTTTGCCATCCATTAATTGATTGATGATTGAGGAGCATTGTCATCACAATGAAAAACTTCTTTTATATCACCTTCATTTATTACCACTTCTCCACATTTCTTTACAAAATCCATTAATTGGAAAACTTCACCTTTGGTTTGCGATATCCAAAATCCTTTAAAGTTGGCGGCTATCATCATAAAATTTAGCTATTGTTCACTATATATATTTGGCCATGTAATCGGGAGATTGGCGACTAACGACAAGTTGTTCCGCTAAATTTTATCTTGCTTCTATCGCCCAATGAGACAGTTAAGCCTGAATTTTAATTGTATTAGGTATTTATTTATGCTTATGTCTATGAATAAATAAATTCCCACATATGCTTAAAGGCTGATTGAGGGCCAGCTCTAGATATCTTAACCGCCTGATGCAGTCTCTGTGGGCCCTAAATTCTGCTACTAAGCGCCTCCCTTTGTCTTCCCTAAATGATGCCACCGGTGTGACTGTACGAGCCATGGCACTGGTTCTGGGTTTATGTGAATAACAATTCAGTTATTCGTAATTCAAATAGTACTAAATGTAATCTTTTGGCCTGTGAGTGTATTTAACAAAATCTATTTTTAGCATATGGAAAGAAATTTTTGTTAAATGTTTCCTCATCAGCATTTCTTAGTGCATTTAACTTAAATCTGTTAACATCGCTAATATCAACATAATACCATACTCTTTACCATACTCTTTATTATTCAATTACTAACATAAAAAAATTCTTTAGGCATTGTTGCACGATGACTCAAGTTGTCGTGTTGATAAACATATGGGGATGGAAAGCAAAATATAATAAATAACGATTCACCAGGTTGGCATCAAAATATTAGTAGGTGTGAAATCAGTGATGTATCTATATAGAGTGTTTCGATTTCAGATGTATGCCGAGCAGACGCGTAGCAACAGAGCCAAATTACTGATCATACAAATTTGTCTTAAAATGATTGTTTCTTCAATAATGATGTATTTTATTTAGTGCCGAAATGAAATTAAGAATTGGAACTCTCCACATATTTTATTATGCGCAGGGGGGAATCAAATGCTCATGCGTAAAGCATACAAAAAATAAATAAGTAAAATAAAAATAAAAGTTGGTGGTGGCTTTGAAGTCCGGATATTGGACGTCCGGATTTCGGACTTTGTACTGTGGTATTAATGAAAAATCTTATTATAAAGTGTTAAGGTTTATAGGATTTTATCTTTTTTGTTGTCACAAAATTTTTAATTTTTATATAAGTGTAATAAGTAAAGCATGAATTTGTAGTTTGTCATAAATTAAACATTTCAAGATAATAAAACAGGTAAAGTGTAATATATCCTCTTTAAGATATTTTTTATTAAGTTATATCTTTTATTTTTAATTATTTTGATTAATTATCTATTAATCATTTATCATCGCTAAAAACTTTAAATCAGCAGAATAATAGTTAAAAAATGCTGTTTACTAAATATCAGTGCATGCTCAAATGTATTTTAGAAAATTCATATGGGCATATATACTCTTTACTGTTTTGCTTTTTAATTTTTTAAAAGTTAAATCTCTGTTTTAAATACTTAAATTAATCTTTAAATTTATCACTGATGATTTAATTTCTTTAAAATGTGCATATTTCTTAGGATAATTTACGTGAGCATTTAAGATCTCACACTGGTGAAAGAGAACATAGAAGAAAGGCTTATGAATGCAATTATTGTGGTAAAGCCTTTCATGGACGATCACTGCTTGACATCCATATTCGCAAACATACTGGTGAAAGGCCATTTGAATGCGATTTTTGTCCTAAGAAATTTCCTTCTTCAGGTGCTTTATCAAAACATCGAATGACTCATACTGGAGAGAGGCCATATACATGCAACGAATGTGGGCGCAGGTAAATATATGCTAAATGGACTATATTGAAGTTTGCATTTCTACTTGTGTAAATTTTTGGAATTTGTTATTGGCATGACAGTTATAATTGTATAAATTTATTCAAATTACTGAAAGATAACAAGTTAGTATTTTTTAGTCATAATAAAAGTTAGACTACAGGCTTCCCTCACTTTTAGGAAGTTATGGGTTTAAATTTTAACCCTTCACAGGCAGCTTAATTTTCATTTTTCTGGTTCTGAAATATAGGGCGATTCTTTCATATTTTCTCTGCCTACATATATTGCTATTCACATCCTTGTCAACGGTTTTAAATAATATAACAATTTTAATTTCGTATTGCAGTTTCAAATTTTATATAATATGACACACAGGATTTCAGAGGCATAATTTTCAAGTTAAAATATGTTCATAATATTTTTATTTTACAGTTTCAAAATATATAATATGGCACATGAGATTTCAGCAAGTATATTATGCAAGTTAAAAAATGCACAATATTTTAATTTTTAGATGAATTGAATTTTTAACCAATTTATTGTAAACATTTTTACAGAAATGCTGTAATAAAGTAGAAGGTATAAAATCTATAAAAAAGCAAAATCAGTCATATATACCAAAAAAAAAAAGAAATATTTAAAATGACAAAAAGTTTTAGCTATTTATAAATATTACAAATTGTTTATATTGACCGTAGAAATAAATAAATTATTTTTTAACCTTTTTTCACCTTTTTGGTATGTGATAAACTTTAAAACATGGCTGCAGACATAATCGAGATTGACATGCTTCACACCAAATACAAATCTCTTTATGTTTTGTTTCCATTGGAGCAGCACACATCACATTATTTCCAAGGTTCCTTTTTTATAGGGTTTGGTAGTGCCTTTTTACAAGGTCCATCATTGAAATGTTTTGATGAACAAAAATTGAACCTTTTACATGAATTCTCTGCAATGAAATGGGCCTGTAGAGCCATATGTCAAAATAATGCATTTTAAGACATTTTTACCCTGCATAGAGAAAAAAAGAGGATGTGTATTGAAATCAAATGGAAAAAAAATTTTGCTCAAGATTTTAATGTGAACTGTAGTAGCAGACAAACTCAAAAATCCTAATGAAATCCTGCTAGCCATAGGTGGTGGGGTTAACATCTTTTGATGCAAATATATTATTTTCTTCAGAAGAGTTCTAAACTTAAAACATTCTACCAAATTGTGCTAACCTTATCTGTAGAATTAAAAATCTGACAAAATTTTGAAATATTTTTGTAATTGCTGATTATATCTTTTAGAATTTTTAACAGGATAATTAAACAGCTTGAAACTGTAAAGCATTTATTTTCTGATTTGTAATAAATATTGATTTTTCCATAACATTAAGTTAGTTTCTTAACATTTCCAGGTAAAAGACCCTGCTTTTTAAACTTGACTTCTGTTTCTTCCCTTTAATGTCCCTTTTTGTTTCTTTTACAAGAGGCTTGTAAACCTTTAAAACTGGTGCTGTTGATGCATCAGTTTTTTATTGTTGACTTCCATAAAAGAAAAAACCATAAAGGTGATATTAACCTGGTAATTTGTGCAACCTGGTAATAAGGCAACTTTATTCCATTATAAGGCAATTTTGCAAAGCAGCTGTGATGACTATATCTTGAAGATAATACCCATTAAGAGGGGATATCTGAAGCATGTAAAGGTAGTGGATGTTTCTTTAAAGAGGAAGGTTTTAATTTTTTTCTGTTCAGTACATAGTTTCATTGTTCAAAAACCTATAGCAGTTCATGTTGACTAAATGGAAACTGAATTTTGAGCTTACCAATTCACTGATAGCACACTTCAGGATTGCAAGATAAAAGTGGGCTGTACTAACTTGGAGAGTTTTGCAATGTGTTGCTTAGCACAGTCCCTCGGAGCAGTGTGCCAACAGAAAAGAATTTCAGCATTGTACAGAAGAATCAAACTCAGTTTAGAACTAGTATGTTCACCGATGAACTAAATGCATTTCTTGTGCAGAAAATGAAATCATTTGCTTTTTTGGGCTGAATGTTGATGAATAATAGTTTTGTGGGAGGCTTTTCCTTTATAGTATTACATTGTTATTAAAGATGCTGTATATAGTTGCACCATATTTATTTATTTTGGGGAATAGGTATTAACCTTTTAGGTATTATCCACAATAATTTGGGAATTGCTAAAAATATTAGATGATTTGGAAAGTTTTGCAGTTTTTCAAATTGAAGTGCATTTTCTTCTAGTTATTTTCTTATTGCTGATAAGGAGTGATATTGATCAAAATGGATGTTCAAATAATCTTTTCTACCAAAGTTGGGGCATAATTTTTGTTTAAATATAGTGCTAAAAAAGAACCCGAAAGTTCGTTTTTGTCATATAATGTCCTTTTATTTTAAAAAAGAAAAAAAAAAAAAAATACTCTTCAGACCACTTGTAATTTCTGAGGACTCAATTCATAAGTGATTTGGAAAGTTTTAAATGTGAAAATTTCAGCCTGGAAGGTGATATCTAGTCTGATAATCATCCTCTGTAAACAGAACCTTTTAAAAGAAGCTCTTGCTGGAAATCTTTTTTATGCAATTCAGGAACTATCAGGCAGACTAAACATTCCAAAAATATTAGTACAGGATCATTTAAAGAAAACTGTGTATGGGTAGATGATACTTTAGCAAAGCAAAATATACACACATGGACAAAATTTAGTGCACCAAGAAGGAGTCATCAAAATTAAATGAAATTTTACATACGTAATGACTACTTTGATATAAGTAAATTATAAGAAAAATCAAAGAAAAGGGATAATTTATTTCAGCGAAAAAGGCAAAAGAATGGAGGAGTTAATACTCCGTTGGACCCTTTCTAGCACGAATGCACGTTGCAATACGATTGGGCATTGAGTCATATAAGTTCTGTATGATGTCTTAAGACATTTTGTTCCATATTTGCTGTAACGTTGCCTCTAGTTCGTTCAAACTCGTGCAATGCCCAACTTGTCGTCCCAAATGATCCCAGATATGCTCGATTAGAGACAAATTTGGGGATCGGGCAGGCCAAGGAAGGATAGTAACAGTGCGGAGACAGTCTTGTGACACCCTTGGCGTATGAGGCCGAGCATTGTTTTGTTGAAAATACCGCTGGGCTGTCATGGTGCCACGGAATAATACTAGGGGTGACCGTGTATTGTAGCCAGTGGCACCCCATACCATCACACCAGCTGTAGGAGCGATGTGTCCCTGTACAGCAAAGGCAGGATTGAGGCGTTCACCACGGGCTCTCCACATACGAACGCGATTGTCATCACTGCCGAGATTGAATCTGGATTCGTCGCTAAAGACGACCTGGTTCCATTCCACTGCAGTCTAATTTCCTCGTGATCGACACCACTCCAAACGTAGGCATCAATGGGTGGGCAGCACACATAATTGGCGTCATGATACCAACTGTCCTTCAGCCAGGCGCCTTCGTATGTTTTCGAGAAGACACAGGAGCTCCTAGTGAAGGTGCTACCTGTGCCTGGATGGCGGCCGATGAAGAAGTTGGCTGTATGCGTGCATTTCTTACTATGTAACGGTCTTCTCGACGACTGGTCTGTCGACGTCGTCCTGAGCCTGGTCTTCGTGTACATGACATCTCTCGGCTCCACTGGTCCCAACACCTCCTCACAACACAATCAGAGCGACCTAATTGACGAGCTACTCGCCTAGCTGACCACCCAGCTTCCATCATCCCTACGATTCTCCCCCTCTCAAACTGCGACAACTGCTCATATTGTCTTCAAACACGGCGTAATGGCATGTCTACCTCAGCTCTTCCTTTGTAAATGATTCAGCACACTCAAACAAGCTTTGGTTACCTGTTTTATACTCCACAGAGTACAACGTTCAACTCCCTCTACCGGCTATACTTAATGCGCAATCACGCTGCATTTCTAATCATTTGCATATCTCCCTGACATGTACCTTCACTGCAAGTTTCTTTACGATCCCGCAATTATTTCTTGGTGCACTAATTTTTTTGTCCATGAGTGTATTTGCTCAAGCTTTGGCATATGATTCTGTGCTGAAAAGAAATAAAGAAGCTCATTTTTTTATACCACTCATTGCTTGAGATGAGAAATGGATACTATACAATAATGCTCCAAGTAAAAGTCATTGTGTAAGCCAAAGGAACTGCCTTTAGTACATATTAAGAGGATGGCTGTAACCCAAACACATAATGCTTTGCATATGGTGGGACTACAAAGAAACTGAATACCCTGAATTGTTGCCACCATATCAAACAATAAATCTGGAAAAATACTTTTTTCAAATGGCGGTTGTAAAAGCAAAAATTATAACAAAGAGCCTAGAGAACCATCCAATTGTTCAGGTGTTGTCTTCCATCATGGCAATGCTTGGCTGCACGTTGGATGAAAGTCAAAGACTTATTGAGTAGGGCTGTGATGATATCTGTCTTCTCCCATATTCACTGTAACTGTGATTTTCATCTCTCTGGGTCACTTCAGAATTTTCAGAAAGACCTGGAGTTCACTTCTTTGAAAACTGTCAAGCAGCACCTCGATAACTTTTCTACGAATAAATGTAATGACCTTTTTTAAGAAAAGAATTTTCCACCTGGCAATTTTCTCATGTTTTTATACTGCTTCATTTGTACTTACCATTAAAAACTGCAGAATTTTCCAGATGGCCCAGTATTTGGTACTTTTGTATTAGCTGATACCCACCATCAATGATCTTGTTTTGTAGTAATATTGTTTGTATATTTTCCTATTAATTATTAATTTTTTTTTTTTTTTTTTTTTTTTTTTAAATCTAGTTTTACACTGAAAGGCACTTTAAGTCGTCATTTGAGAACACATACTGGAATTAGACCACATGCCTGTACCTATTGTGGAAAAAAATTCATCCAAATTGGAGGGTTAAATGCTCATATGTTTTATCATACTGGAGAAAATGGATTCAAATGTGATGATTGTGGAAAAGTTTTTAACCGCAAAGCTCGGTTGCAGATGCATCAGTTGTATGTCCACATAAAGCTCAAGCCGTTTGTATGTGATCACTGCAGTAAACCATTTACACGTAAAGAAGATCTTATGCGTCATTCAGTGTTACATACTGGTGAGAAGCCGTATAAATGTCCCACTTGCGATCGGCGTTTTTCTGTTAAACCATCTCTCAAGCTGCATCTTTTAACGCACACGAAAGAAGAACCTCGCTCCTGTCATGAGTGTGGACGTGCATTTATTCGTAAAGACTGCCTCTTGCGTCACATGAGGAAACGTCATAGAGATGTTTTTGATAAGATTCTGTTTGATGAAAAAGATGAGAAAGATGCCAGTATTGTGAACTCAAGAGTATTGAGCGAAAAAGATCTTACCGACAATATCCGCGAGTTATTGTATTTGTTGATTGATGAGCCAACTCTTATTGGCTTTGGTTGGCCTAATAAGCCTGTTGATGAAGTTTTGGAATTAGTTATACAAAGATGTGGGCATAGCCCTGTCAGCCGTGACAATTATACTTACATGGATAGATTGAGAGAGAATGCGAAGCTCCTTTTCACTGTTGTTATTGATGACAATGCTGTGAAGACATTATTAAATAATCAGACAGTGGATGAAGTTATTCTTCATGTTCTTAGATTGGCAAAAACATAATTCTCTTTTAGTCTACTTGGAGACAAGTGTCCTGTTATATGTGCACATTATTTTTGCAATATGTAAACTCTTCTTTATATAATCATCAAATGCACAATATATTCGACTTTCAGATTGAATTATGTATTGGCATATTAAAAAAGCACAAAATTTCTTATAGCCAGTTCATACATTGTTCAGTTTAATATTTGTATCGTGAAGCATGTTTAGCTGTGTATTTAGTTTAACTGTAGGAAATTGAATTTTACATGTCTGTCTTTATATGAAATATTTTATTTTCATATGTGCCAACTTATTCAGTGATCTTGAGTTCTTTTAAATTGATGCATTTTTTATAAATTTAATAAGTAATGAAAACTATTTGCTGTATCTTAAAAACTCATTCATGAAGAATCAGCAGACTATTAAATAAGTATATTTCTGTATATATATATATATATATCATCATAGCTGTGAATTCTGGTTTTTCATCAAATCTCCCAGTTTTTAATTTCTACCAAGTATTCCCAGCAGTAAATGAAATTTAGTGAATTAATGAAACTTAAATTGAGAAAATTTCATTTCCTTGATTCTAATGATTTTTAGAATAATTTTTCTTATTAAATTTTATTTCATCTAAATTATATTTTTTATTACATTTCATTAAATTTCATTTGATCTGAGTTGCTATCTATTGTAGACATTTATAGATTTTTATGTGACGATCAAAGCATATGTTTAATGAATTAATATAATAATAATTTGTATTTCAGTACATGGTACATTGCCGAGTTTATCCTTAACTATTATATATGTAAATAATTTATTTTATTTTTGTCATATTTAAAAGTACTAAGCTTTCTTCTAAGATAAGTAAAAGCTTTCTTTCACTACTCTGGATTTCAGTATGAAAGTGTAAGAAAATTATAAAATTAGCTAAAAAACATAAAATTAAGCATATCCAATTAAATGCTGATATATTTACTTGAGAATTGAATTACAAATAGTTCATCATCCTTAACAATGCATTATAAAGTAAGTTAAAGTCAGTTTCGAGTTCCTTTGAAATGGTGCCACCATGCAGCATAAAAACCTCCCAGTTTTCTCACACAGAAATCATTTTTTTTTTTTTTTTTTTTTTTTTTTTTTTTTTTTTTTTAAGATTTCAAGGTTGGCAGCTATGATATAGGTTGACTTAATTAGCTTATTATGAAAATAGCTTTAAGTAATATCTTTTTTAAATCCATATAAAAGTTGATATTGCCAAAAAATGGATAAATAACAGGAAGCATTTCTACTAAAAATAGAATTATATACCCTTCCTTTTGAAACATAAAAAATCAAAATTGTCTAATTGTGCAGGTGAACAATAAATAGAAAAACCAAAATTAAAGGGGAAAATACAAATAAATTGTATGATTAAACAAATAATCATATTTTTGTATTTTATGTCCCACCATAAAATAAATCAGGTATTGCTATAAAGACTGCATGGCACAGGTAAATTAAAAGGAAGATGTCAGCGAAATAGAATAAAAGTAAAGTCCATGAGCAAAATGGTACTGAGGAACATATGTTCTCATGGAAAAGAGTATGTATTCATCAACTAGTTACTGTGTTTCTGGAAATTTCCACTTAGACTGCCAGGTTTTATGTATCATTTAGTAAAAGCAATAAACTTAATAAAGTTGAGCAGCAGTTACAGCAAATTCAAAATATGTAAAATGAAATTATCACCCGAAATCTCTAGTGTACTTGAAAGCATTGTTCCTTTAAATCTTATACAAATATAGTGTCCAATAATGAAAGAAAGACATGTTGAAGTTAATTTAAAAGGAATTTTAATTAGTTATGTAGGAACTATTATACAAAAAATGCTGGATTTAGTTATACAGGAACTATTGTACAGAAATGCTGCATACATAAAATCAACAGAAGTTATAAGAGATAGATTATATTAAAAAGAGAATTTTAATGCATACCTATTGACATGTATAAAATTATGCCTGTTTTAAAATTATATTTGTGAAAAATTTTAGCTTTAATTATAATAGCCCTTTAACTCTCTATTTTAATTTAGCTATTTCCCTTTTCCAGTCAAAAATAATAGCTGTATATTATAAAGCATTCTAAATTGTGTCATTTCAAAATTTATCCATGTCATATGATTTTTGCACTAATGTTGCAGGCATTGTGTAAGGTGTCAGTCAATAATTATTTTAGAAATTTACAATTTTGTCAGTCAATAATTATTTTAGAAATCAAAATAAAGCTAAACCCGAACTAAATCGCTGTGTAACGTGGTTTATGTTAACTGACCAGTTATTATGATTTTGATCTTTATTTCTTCTTTCCATATTCCCCACCAGAATGCAAATTATCTTTAACCGTATTCGAGCACTTGTGTCTGACACTTGTGTGTGCTGTTAGTTTTTTGTCTACTCTGTTTAAAAGTGAAATTCTGACTTTGGGATTCTTACCAAGAGATGCTTTAAACTTGTGCACCAGTAAAATGACCAAGGTAGCTTATTTCTTATTCTGTTGAAAGTGTAATCTTAGACTACATTACTTTAAATTTAATTATCTGTTATTGATTAATTTATGTGGCCAGAAGTTGTGGTTTATATCTATAGCACAAGTCATGCCTTATGTTCAATTTTCAACTAAAATAAAAGGGTTCTTTGGTTATTTTAAATCTTCTTCAGTACTTTTGTCTATTTAAGATGTAGCAAATAACTTGCTATCTTATCTAGTATGATTTGCAAGACTTATCTTTAGTTCCCAGATGTGTTAATTATCCTTCAATTCTGAACAGGAATTTCATCATGTCTTACTTCCTTTCTAGCAGCCTGTTTGCTTTCCACTGCTGTACAGTTTTTACTGCATCAAAATTAATGTAGCAAAGGCACAAATGGGATCAAAATTGGTGCAGATTTCACCCATTGCACTGTGTGATTCAAGTTATGAATGTGTTTCTTAAGTATAAAATAAAATGTGTGAAATCGACAAGACTGCTAACATCTTTAATGCAACTACTACTACTTGCATCTCCATGTCAACAGTTTCTAAATTATTACATATATGTATCTGTAATGAAAAATTTTGATGATGATGTAAACTTGGAAGGCAAAGTATATACTTCTAAGGTTTGGTAAAATTGGTTTAGTTTTATTCTGATTGGTTAATCTGTTTCATTTTGCAAATTTGACTTTTTATAATGCTTATTTTTTATTACATGTATATATGCAGAAAACACATCTACGCAGTTGCTCAAAAATTTAGTTTAAGATTACAGTATATCTGCAATCGGTGCCTTCCTTTATGTTTGATTAGTAGTATAATCTAGTTTCTTCTTCAGTAACTTGAAATCATGTATAATACTGTATAATGCATTTTCCATGTAAGTCATGAATATTGGGAACTTTTTATGACCTGTTAATTGAAATACTGTGAGGGGTTATTTTAATAGTATAATTAAAATAAAGTTAAACTGAAGATTTCTTAACATTTTCTTCATAGATATAGATATGAAGGCATACCAGTTGTTAAGTTTTTGTCAAGACTATATATATATATATATACACACACACAGACACATAAGCAAAAGAAGTAATCTATTTTTGTATGAAAATTTTAAATAAAATTTATAGTTGGAATTATTTAGAATGTTTTCATAATATTTAAGTGAATTAAGTATTAGATTTATTCCAAAATAAATATCTGCCTTGGTGTGTATTTTTATAGAGGATTTATCAAGGGTATTATATATATATATATTTAGAATACCCTAAAAAGAAAACTACAAAACTAATCAAAATCTGAGCTGGGAGCCTGATATTACCTCATGAACGTATACATGTTTCTTTTTGTTTAAAATGAAATATTTTATTCTTGTTTTAATATTTTTATCTCTTTAGATTTATGTTTTATTGTAATTTTCATTACATAAATAATAATATCTATTGCTGTGCCATTAGGCCTTAAAAAAAGAATAAACCTGGCATTTTGTTCTTCAGTTTTAAACATGAAGTTAATGATATGCAATTTTTTACATTGTGTAGGGTAAAAAAAGGATCCATAGTTCTGTGTTTGTAATTGGAGCAAAATATTTTATATGCTTGCTGTGAAAAATATGTCTTAAGATGGAATGAAATTAATGTATTCTAATAACAAAATTGTTAGAAGTAATAGAAATGTGTTGCTTTATATTTAGCTGTTCAAAATAATATTGAAAAAATGTAACTCACTCATAACTAAGTTTATCCAATATGTAATTTTAAACTTTTTTATAAAATTATGTTAGTTACTTTTCCTGAAAGATCAGTTGATTAGTATTTTCATATCTCTGCATTTTCAAAGCAGACTAATCCAGAACCCACTTTGTAAATAACTTCAGATTATGTTGTAGAATGTTAAAGTTTATTTGCACTTTGCTAATTCTCGAGTCATATTTGAATTGTAATTTTAAATAATGCTTAAAATTGTTACGATTTGCTCATCCATTCAGTTTCATTCTTGGTTGTGCTGATAAAGTAACTGTTATCAAAAAAGTGACATTGATTTTTTTTAAAATTTAAACTAATACAGAGTGAAGCTATTGTGCTTTAAAATTAACAATTGCTAGTTATATCTATCAAAGCCTTTTATGAACATTTTATGCTATTTTTGGTGAATTTAATATACATCTGAAATTATTGTAATCATCCATAGTGTTATCAGATTGTTGAGTATGAATTGTATAATAATAAATATTAGAAAATATTAACTCTTTAACCAGCAAGATAGTATATATATATTATGTAGACAGTATGCCTAGAATATTTTTTTATGTCTTTAAGAAATTATATATAGATGCATCTTGAAATATGTGCAAGAAATAAAGGCAATATATTAAAAATCATAAATGCAGATATAAAGTACCAGAGACATTTTGGCATTAAAATCATGAAAATACCTCCTTCTCATTTCAGTTTTGGTAAATTTGGGCATTCTTAGTGAAACCCAGTGCCGGTCAAAGCTGAAAAAATTTAAAGTATCTTTTTAAGCATCCTGGAGGAAGTCTGGCTAGGGTTATTTTATGCTTAAAATCCTAAATGGGTCTTTTACATGTGGATGAAGAAGGTCTCTTCTGTACACATATATTTATTTTCAGCTTAATTAATATTATATGTACTAATGTTTCAGCCAATATATTTTCAAGTCTTCAAAAGAGAATAATTTTTCAAGAAATAGTTTGGTTTCACAGAAAGGCATTCATTTTTTGTGCTGCATATTTGTTCTGAAGCTAATTAATCAATTTAACCTGGAGGCATATTAATAATTATGTGAATGATGATAGGAGCTTTTATTTTGTATCAGCAACTTGTACATTGTAGCCTATAGTTTCCATTCTTTGTCGTTCTTTCCTCTTTTTTTTTTTGCAGATGTTTCAAGAACTTTTCTCTTTACTGGTAGAGAATGTTAAGTTTAACGATTAAGGCAAAAAAACTCGGGCTGTCTGTGTTATGCCTTAAGAGGTTGCGTGCCTTAATATGTTTTCATGGTGGACTATCGAAGGGAAATTAGCCCATATGCAAAATACTGACACAGCCAACCCAGTCACTCGCATTTGAACCCAGATCAAACTATCGGTGTTTAGCAACTTTACTATTGAGCTACTGGTGAGCTCTAATGGTGAAGTTTACCCACCCCTGCCATTAATTATTTACTACTTTTTTTTTTTTTTTTTTTTTGCTCTAATTGTGAAAGACGAAAATTTATTTAATTTGATTATTAAGTTATTTTTGTTAGAATGCCCCCTTTTGTTAAATCCATTATTTTCTGCAACATTATTATAAATTTTATTCTATTTCCTTATTATTCTTTTTCTTAACTTTAAATGAAATAGCAGTTTTTATTATCCTTAAAAAATAGTTTCTAATTTTACTTGCTCATATGTATGCATGTGTATAAACGCATTTTTATTCAGCATTTGTTAGAAATAATTTGTTTTATTGCTTATTTGCTGTCACTGACATTTCTAAATCATTTAAATTGGGATAGTATTATTTCCATTTTTAGTAAAGAAGTGCTATTTCCATTCTCTCATTTAGAACATTTTGTTGAAAAGCAATTCTAAAATTTTTAATGTAGGCAAAAGCTTAGATTATTAAAATTTATAACTGACTTATAGAGAAAAATATAAAAAAAAACTTTTTCTGTGCGAGAAGTAACATTTTTAATAGCAGTTATGAATTTGTATCTCTTTTATACATCAAGTTAACTATTTTTAGCTTGTAGGAAATTGTATATTTCTTTGAAATTTCCATGTGTGTATTGCTATAATTTTGTGGATTTTCACAAAATTTCGTCCATGAAATTTACTTGCAATTTTTCATGGTTTTGTTATAAAAATGAAAGAGTTTTGTTATTTGAAAAAGCTGAATTGTTTTTTCATATATCTGCTTGTATCCAAGTATGTGTAAAAAAAAGTGTGTGATGTATTATTTTCTAATTTAGCTATTTTTTGTAGTAGAAAACATTTTATAATGTGCTTTCTTGTTGCTTGTTTTATCGATTTTTATTATTCACATGTGAAGTATATGATTTATGTGTTATTATCAGAGTGAACATGAGAATACACACTGCATTTATGTTTCATGAAGTTTATATTAATTATTTTAAAAGAAAGTAATGTATTCAATGTGATTAAAATCAGATAAATTTCAGTTTTATTTTGATATTAATTTTATAGGGAAACTATGCATTTTGAGGTACAGGTCCTTTAAACTGCATAGAGATTTTCTATATAACATCCATCAATTTAAAGCTTAATTTGACATAATTTTGAATTTCCAGTTTTTAACTTCTTTTCCTTTTATTAATGATCCGACATTTTAAGTTTCAATAAATATATTCTTTTTTTACTATCTTTTATGTGATGAATTGAATTCAGAATTTTAAAAATTATCATTCATTTCTATTGGAGTGACAACTTCTTGATGACCAAGAAGAAAGTTTTCTGAATTCTATAGCCTTCCATAAAGAGACGGAGGCAAAATTCTATTCGAATTACTGGTGCTAATTTATAATCAAGTTATTAATTTTCTTAATTAAAAATAATATATTTGAATAGTGAACTTTTGTTAAAGTTTTGTACTGACTGGTGGGCTGAAAAAAATATTTTAACATAAATTACTGCTTTTAGAGAACAAATATCTTGTTTTTATCTTTTAATTGCATTTTGAGATTGTATGTAAATGGTGTTTTAACTGCAGTTTTCAAGTTCATCCTTCAATAAAGCACTCAGGAGTTTCTTAAAAATTTTGATGCATTTATTATGAGATAACAATGGATGTCCAAAATTTACCTTTATTGCATCAGAAAGTAGTATATTTAAAATGATTTAATAGGAGTATATAATATTTAATAGAAGTAAATTGTATAGTATAGGTACAATTTAGTAGGAGTACATTTTAAATGAAGTTGATTTTGACAGAAGGTATAAGCTTTTAACATTATGAAATTGTTCTTAAAACAATTATGAATATATGCATTTTTGTGCATGTTACAAGATTAAAAACTAAATTTGAGCATGAAGAAAATATTAATATTCTAATTATGATTGTAAAAATAATTTATCAGCTTATTGAGATTTGGTTATCCAGTAATACAATCCATAAATGCATTTGTTAAAATTTGTAGGGTATGTAATTATAAATAAAGAAATAAATCTTAAAATTAGACAAAAGAACAACTTTGTGTTTGGTGTAGATTTAATGGAAACTATCGATTTCAAATGCAAGCCTGTCCAAGTCCCTCTTAGTCAGGAGCTATATAAATAAATATTGTATCTACCATATTTTTTAAAAGCAAAATACTTTTCTAGTTAATGTCAACTTTTATAAAACATTAACTATTTTCGGAGCATCATTTGACCATATGTAATAAAGGTAAATTTTACCATCAAAAAAGTGCATTTTTTATTTAAGTGTATTTCATTCTCGTGATTATTTTTTGTGCTATTTTATATTCTCATTTAAAATTTCATTACTGTGCTACATATTTCTGATATAAAAATTGTATACTGTTTATAACTTATAACTATGTCTTTTTGTTGAGCTTTGAAACTGTTGATTTAAATTTTTCACCCCCTGAGGATAGTTTTTAATCAATCTTTTAGTTGTGGTTAGGTAATCAGGAAGGACATTTTTAAGGGGACTCTTAACATTGCAGAGTAGTTACATAATTCCAATTTATATATTCATTAATTTTCTGTGTTTGTAGTGGTTAAGCTTTTTTCCTGACACTTAGAACTTTTATATTTCCTGGATGTTGTTTTTGTTTTAAATCTGATACCAAGCTAACTTGTGAAAGAAAGGGGGAATATCACCTGACTTTTATGAGATTAATATGTCTATTTTATTTCTGTTTGCATTAGTAAATTTTTAGATGTGTGAATTCTTCACCCCCCCCCTTCTTTTTTCTCAAATGTATTGAAATTTCTAGTGTAATATTTGAATATACATGCAGCTGCTTTTTATCAGCATCTGCATTTGATAATATAATTTGTGCTTCAAAATAAAATGGTTTTTTTAATTATGTATTAATGGAATGAAGTAATTCTTATCTTTTGCTGAGAAAATTTTAATATGAAATAATTTTACATAAAAATATGAATTTTGATTTACTTGTAAAATACATACCAGAAAATCACTCAAGATATTATTTAGAATTGCAGCAATGTATGCTTAGTTGCAGTTTTAAATATTTTTGTAAACTGTAAATATATAGGCAATGAAGTATGTCTTTACCTCTATTTAAAAATGTATTTGAAAGGGAAAACATTTTTATAATGTATTACATTTGTTTTCTGTGTAGTTTGGAATTTCCTTGTGAAAATATCGGTAGTGCCTTTTGTAACCTCAAGTGCCTTTACTCAGATATATGCAACAATTGAGTTGTTTAATAAAATGCGATAAAAATATAAAGTTGTTGTTATACTTGCTTTTGTATTCTCTTCGAACACAAAATTATTGCCCCAGCCAAAAAATAAATCTTAATGAAAAATTATGTATGTATTATGTAAAATTATGTGCGAGCAACTGACAAAATATAATATAGAAAGTATTTTTAAAAATTTTATTATAAAATTTTGTATACTCTATTGCATTTCCAGTAATACATTTTTATTGGTACTTGTATGTTAACACAAATACTTTGGCAATTTTTTACAATTAAAAACTGGAAGTTACTTATGAGGTGCAAGTTATAGGTTTTTGTGACTTTTTTTAAACAAGATTCCCAAACTATTATTATCTATCATAAGTTGGAGACATTATCAACATATGAAAAAAACCAAATTACAAATTTTAATTATTAAATAGTCGCTGAACACTGGTAGTTCGGTCCGAGGTTCGAATCCCGCGAACGGGCTGGCTACATGGGCGTTTTCGTGGTTTTCCCCATGTTTAACGTGTATACGAGCCAGTTTCTCTTAGAAAGTCCTCCACAAAGGCATCCCTCCCCTTAGGCAAATAGCCCTCGAGGCTTTGCAATAATCACACACACTAATTATTAAATAAGGAATATATGATGCATTAAAAAAATTTAAACACATTCTTTTCCAAATCTATCTAATATTTTTTGTGCTTTCTTCTCGAATACACGACGATCTCTTTTTGCTTAAAAAAGAAATCGGAGACTTGGCAACACGGGCCTTCTACCAAACGCATCTCTTCAGAGATTTGGGAGTAAAAAGAGTGGTGAACACATTTTCACCTGACGAAGATGGAAAGTGTGATCGTAATCTTTAGGGAAAGATCAAAAGTATAGTCTAGGTGAGTTAATACTTCTCAAAGTTTTAATCATTTTTCTGGAGTCTGTAAAACAGCATGAGGTATGTAATTACCATGAAGAAAGATAATGCATTTCCAATTAATAAATAATAGCTAGCTGGAATGTCAGTTCTATTTCTCTGCTCAAATGAAAGTAGTAAATGGGATTTATTTACTTATATTCCCAAAGTGTTTGTAAAAATATATTGGAATTTTTTTAGAATATTCTAGAAATCAAGTATTATAAATTTCAAAGTGCTTATAACTATATTATCTACCTCCATATAAGAAGAAAAAAACCTGAAAGATTTCAGATTTTAGTGCTCACATAGAAGGGTTTGTTAAAGTATTTTACACTTTGGCTGAACTCGCAGTCTACCAATCTCTTATTGCAGTCACTCCTGATAATCCATTTCTTTTTGTCTTTTTAGCTTTATTGTTAAGCAGCATTTTCTTTGCACTTGTGCAGTATACGGTTCAGTAGTGTTAACTTTATTTATTAAGTATCATGTTCATGATGACATAAAATTCAACAGCAAAATCACAAAATTTTT